ATTAGATTGCATGATCCAACGACTTATAAAAATACAAAAAATATACCTTCATTAAGGGTATTTTAGTAATTTTTCCCGCATACAGCCAATAAGCAGGGCCCACTTCACATTAATTTATTTGCTAACTACACCCACCAACACTAATAAACAGTGGGCCCACCAAAATTAACTACCCACGTATCTCTCTCTCCCTCACAATATATCTCTTTCCCTCAACAAACAGTCCGTCACCATAGAGCTGTCAAAGCATCTCCGGCCGCCGGCGTAATTTTTCAGACGTCACAACACATCTGCCGACACGCACAACCAACACCGGCGAGCAGCAACTTATATCTGGCCGTCACCTCCGGATGCTCACAGATCGTCCGTCCTGTCGCACCACCGCTCGCAGCAGCTCTTGACGGCGCCGCTGTCACTGCAGTCTTGCAGCCTCTTCTCCACCCACGACGGAAGCAGCACCACTCGCCGAGATCCGTGGTCAATATAGGAACACGCAGCGGCGACATGGTGGTCGAACATGAAAGCTTCGGTACTCGGTAGCTCCTGCACGGCCATGGCGAACACTGTTTTCCACCGGTGTTGTGGCGGTCGAACGGCGGCGCAAAGTTGAGGCTCTGGTCGGAAAAATATCCGGCAATTTGAACTCTGAAATTGGATTGTGGATTGGGCCATTTGGTTGAGAATAGATTAAGTCTAGGGGCTTATTTGCAATTTCAATAATTTAATTACATTTCAATTTAACCCTGGGTTAAATTTGTTAATATTAAAAGTTAATAAAAAATGATTTTTTTTTTATATATTCTATATGTATATTTATTAAATAACATATAAATTATTCAATAAAAATAATGTAAAATATTAAGATAAATTTATAAGAGTAAATACATTATACAATAAAAATAATAAATGAAAATAATATTTTATATATTTAGGTTACTTAGATGTAAAATTACATATATTAAAAAATTTAATAGTTTTAGGATACACATGAGAAAGTATAGATTAATGCACTTTATATAGGGGAAGTTTATTTATTTAAAAAAAAAAATTAAGTGGACAAAAATAAAATTAGAAAAAAAAGAGTGGACCAAAACAAAACAGCCGTATTCTCAGAATACTTTTTCTTAAAAAAAATTAATCAAGAAAACATATTCCGAGAATACGTTTAAAAAAAAAGTGAAATGTATTTTTTTAAAAAAAAAGGTTTTAAAAAAAAATAGGCAAATAATAATTAAAATGTATTTTTATAAAACGTAATTTGAAAATACGTTTTTTAGCAAAACGTATTATGAAATTACGTTTCCAGAGATAAATAAATATTTTTGAAAAAAATAATATTTTTATTAAACCGTATTCTCAGAATACGGTTTACAATTAAATTGTCGGTAAACGTATTCTGAGAATACGTTTTTTACGTTTAATATAAAAAAAATCTCTTCCTCTCCATTTCATTCACGCAGAAACACAAACAGAAACCAAAAAAAAAAGGCAAGGAGCGATTTTCTGTGTGAAAAAAAAAAACTCGATCCAATCTTCATCCCGGCGTGAACCGACAACACCGGCACGAGTCTCATTTCCGGTTAATTCATTCGCACGAGGTATATTGTCTTATCATTACTTTTTACATTATTTGAA